TATATACATCCGTATTCTTCTTGTGAGTCACTGGTTCTTAAGCTTGAATGTGCCTCACAATGCCCAGGAGGGTTCATTAAAACATAGACTATTCCTGGGAGTCACCCTAGAATTTCTTCAGGCCTCAAATGGGGCCCCAGAATTTCATTCTTAAGAAATGTTCACGGATGCTGGTGGTACTGGTGAGGGCCTGCACTTTGGGGCCTTTGTAAAAGTTTTATAGATGAGTTCAAAGGAATATCAACTGATTTAATACCAATATGAACAACAGCATCAAGAGAGAGGAATTCAGGAAATTCCCCTTTGTTCTTTGTGTCAGTAGATGATAATGATTCAGCCAAGCTCCTAGTGATTTAATTTGACCTTTATAGACAAGTTTACACAAGACAGTCTTGTGCAATGTCAATTTGTGGCACAGTGAGGCTCTTACCTTCAAACTATCTTTGGAAGTAAGATTCTCTTTAATGAATGGTTTATATGGGTATATCGGTTTTCTTTCTTTGCTCGAATCAAAACCGTAGTCTCAGCTGTACTCTCCTGTGATGTAAAATTCCTCTCAAATGCCGACTCTAGGAGCATACTATTCCTCTTGGAGTTTTTCTGCTCTCTGGGGCATCCTTTTGAATAACTTGCCTCTCCTTTCCCACTTAAAAAGTGACCTGTTGCCCAAGACCTGTTGCACTTTGGGTGATGTCCCTAGTGACAGACCATTTTGACTAGGGACTTGGGCTGTGACACTCTCTGAGAATGTAAATGAGCACCTGCACCTGGCAGTGTTGGCTTGAGTACTGAGAGGGCCACTTCATCCAGGGCTTTTGATTGAGAGGTACTCTAACAGAATGCCCAAGGTACTCTAACAGAATGTTTTCACTTCACAAAAGAAACCCATTACAACAAAGCTGCCAACTAGTATTCTGCTAAGTAAAAACAGATTCTCTTTGAGGTATTTGTTGAACGTCTGAGCCCTCGCAGGCATTCTGTCAGACTAATTTGGCTGTGTGGAAACTAGAGCAGGTGTGTTTGGATGCAACTGGGGAGAGGTGGGGGAGTTTTTGCATTTAAAAGCATGAGCTGCCAAAGCACCTAGACAGGCCATTCTGTCCCCCCACATTCCAGTTCCCCTTCACCAGCATCCTTCATCATTTCCTCCAGAAGCAGAGTAGAAGCTCCATGAACTTTTGTCCCAAGAAAGCAAGTCTCAGCAAAGGACCCAGCATTGTTCCCTGCTTCCTTGACACTAGCTGGAACTGGGTCACAGGAGGTCACTGGTTAAAAATAAACTAGGTTGCTATTTCAGTTGCCAGCAGATTACACAGAATGATGTTTATTGTCATTGTTCTAAGAATTGGATGTTTAGGAACCAATTCCAAAAGAAAGATAACAGTGAATCCTGGCGTTGATGTGTGTCCTTGGCCAATGTTTAAGTCTTGTGCAGACACTATATATTGTGAGCTGATTTTTAACTTCACTGGAATCCTGTACTGCTCTCTGTATCCTAAAATTGGTCTAAGGTCATCTGGAGAAGCTGCGTACTTCCTTTCTTGGTTTCTGAGTTTGGTTTTTGTATTTCAAGAACAAAATTAATGGTGTGGGATGGAGAGGGCAGTGGATTAGAAACACCTCTTCATTTATAACAATCTTCTGAGCAACACAGGTCCTACAGACCCAGAGAACAAGTACTTTAAAAAAAGGTGATTCTATTTAGGTCTTAGTGGAGGGACCTAAAGACAATGTACACCTTCATTAATCCAAGCCACTGAAGGCTCCAGTGTAAATACCAAATACTCATCAGATTGACAAAATCCAAGTGATTGTACATGTCTGGTTCTATAGTCAGTGAAACTTGGTATGTTGCTGGTGAGAGGGAAATTGCTGTAGATTCCTAAAGAAGTAGTCTATATCAGATAAAAGTATCAACAAAAATACTCTGGAGCCAGCAATGCTTCTCATAGGATTTACTCCTATAAGATATAATCATGTAAATATATTTCTGTGTTCTTTGTGGTGGTAGGAAAAAAGGAGAAAACCAGAATTTCATCAAGAGAATAGTTGAATGACCTATGATATAGCTATTATCTCTGGGGTACCTGGAAGTCACATGCTAAACCTTGACCACAATAAGGATAAGACAGACTAGCTGGAGATTTATAATGTGCTGTTTAAGGTTTGAAACTCCCCTGGAAGAGCCAAGACTAGCTTCTCTGCTTAGTTTAAGGATGTATATTGATTGATGGTGTACCTGGCTTAAACCGTCACACAGTTTGGCTTGACTAGTTGACTAGAGACCCTGCTGGAAACTTTCGCTCAGGCTTCCCTGAAATTAAGATCTCTTGTACGTGTCCTGGAAGTTCCAAATTTAAGTCTTAGGTGAATGAGAAGGACTCTGGTTGGCTGTGCCTAGAAGTTTCTTAGGTCCCCAGTACTTTTCTGGACTTCCACTTTTCTTCTGTACACACATCTTTTTACCTCCATGAGAGCCTTTTGTGAATACATTCTGTGGAGTCCTGTGAGTCCATTCAGTTTTCCAACCCATTGCCATTGACACATCTATACAATGCAGTATGATTGAGTGAAGTCAAAAAATGAGTTAAGTCTCTCTAGTTTGTCCTTAAAGTATTATATGTTAAGGGGAAAAAAACAAGTTGCAGAGAAATAAAATTTAAAAATGAAAGGGAAAAAAGCAAGCCTGTCCACCATTATCTGGGGAATGGTGCATCTATTAGCACTCCTAACCTTGAGAACGTGGCAATGAGATGAAGAGAGACTGTCAGCTTTTCCTTTCTGCCCCTCTGTCATACTTATTGGACACGTGTTGATTTTGTAGTTTGATAGAAAGCATCATAGACTGATTATACATTTAAAAGTTTCTTAGATGTAAATTTTTGCAGGAGGCTAAATTTTTTCTAGTTTCTCCAATAATGGATTGATGGAAACATTTGTGTGGAGGGTGGAATGTACTGTTTGGGTGGAGGCAGAGATCTGAGAAAGGTCAGGTGGGAAGGAGGCAAACAGGTTACAAAGTCTCCACTTTCTAACAGAACTGATCTGTGAGAGGCTGAGAGGAAAAGAGCAGATTCAGAAGACAGAGTTGGGAAGCAGGTTTGGAGAACCACATTCAGTGGTCTTCTGTGAAAGTGCCACTGGCATCCACCATGCAGAGTGAAGACTCCTTGATAAGCCCTGTCTGTTGGGTCTGAGAAGCCTGTTGTGACACTTCTGTCCTGTTGAGTGGAACCAATGAGTAGGCCAGGGCTATTTTTAGATGTGAACGAGCCAACGTCTGTGAAGTGGCAGCATTTCATAGAGGATGAGTTTCGATGGCAGAGCTAGAAGGGGTGGCCCTGAGCTGGCATCAAGCATGTTCGTGTACCTCATGGGTTACGTAACCACGTGCAACTGCTTGCACAGCACGGAAATCTTAGTAACTTATAAAACTGAGAAGTCTATTTTAAACAAATGTTTAAATAGTCCATCGGCATCTTTTTATAGCTTTTTTTTTTTCATTCAGTCAAAACTCACAAACCATAAAGTTCACCATGTTAAATCATGAAGTTCAGTGGCCTCTGGTGCATTCACAAGATTATGTGCCCATCACCACTGCCTAACTGCAGAACATTTTCACTACACAGAGCCAGTCAGTTTCTAGCCTCACCTTCCTGGAGGCCCTGACAACCACTAATCTGCCTTCTGTCTCCACGGATTCGTCTAGTCTGGATGTTTTATATCAGTAAGATTATGTAATGGGTGGCCCTTCGTGTCCGTCTTCTGTCACTCAGCCTGTCTTCAGGCTTCATCCAGGTTGTGCTGTCAGCACTTCATCCTCTTTCTAGCTAAATAAGGTTCCACTGAATGGATCTATTTGCTTATCTGTTAATCAGTTGATGGACATTTGGGTTGTTTCCACTTTGAGGCTATTGTTGTGAGAACTGCTGCACAGAACATCCCTGTACAATTTTATATGAAACATGTTTTCAAGCCTCTCAGGTACATGCTTAGGAGTGGAATTTCTGGGCCTGTGTTAGCTTTGTGATTAACTCTTCTAGGAATTGCCAAAGTGTTTGCCTCTACTGTTGTGTGTCCAAAGCCATCTGCATGTTATTTTTAACATGAGATCTACTGGGGAGAGGAGTTTTATCCTTAGTAAATCTATGTTGCTGTTTCCATGGCTTGGCTTCATATGGTCTCAAACACACAGGCATATTAGTGAGTCCACCATTCCATCTAGCAAGTGCTCTCGCTGAGCGCCTTTGTGTTGCTGTGTGGTGGCACTGGGAATGAGCGTGAGCAGAGCAGAGCAGCTCCCTGTTGTCGTGAACTGTATAGTGTCGGGGAGCCACCAGCCATTAAGTAATCCTCTCTCCACTAAATATACAGAAAACCTGGAGTAAATGCTCAGAAGGCAAAGTTCACGGGGGCCCATTTAGATTTGGGGGTAGGGCGAACAACTGGTGTCCACAAAAGGTCCCCTGAGAAAGTGGTGTTCAAGTCAAGATCTGGAAGTTATGTAGAAGTTAGTGAGTTAAGTTAGAAGTTAAGATGGTGGTGAATGGGCTGGTCGAGGGCCCCTGAGTTCAGTCCCTGGTACATGCCCCACTCCCTCCCCAAAAATCCATTACTTACCTGCTTGTGACTCTTTTTTTTTAAACATTGCTGCTGTTGTAACATCTGAAATGTGTCCCTCCCTTTTGCACACATTTTCTCTGGCTTTCTCCTTCAGCCCAGCTCAACTTCCTCTTTGGGCTGAAGGAAGGTTTTGTGACTCTCACGAGATGGCCCTCCATTAATGACAGGTCATTGTTCGAGCTGAAATTGACATCAGAAGTTTGTGTTTCTTTGCATAATTTTACATATCCTTATTATCCTAATTAGTTTTTAAACCTGTAAAATTGCTACTAGCTATTTCATTTGAAGCTGTTCATTTGAATGACTGTTTCATCATAAGTAGCCTTTTCATAGGTAGTGAAAAATGTTCTTACAAATGTCACCTTTTCTCTTTCCAGTTTTGAGAAATGGTGCTTGGGAAATTGTTCACTGGGAAAAGGTATGCATTGATTTTTATTTTGTTCCAGGAGAAGAAATGCATAGAGGTGTATCTAGTAGATGAAATTTTTGTATATGATATAAGCAAAAGACAAGAATTCCACTGATACCAAAGCTATTTATTAATTGATGTTATGACCATATATATGGAGTTTCAGTTAGTCACATCTATTTAGCATTTCTGCTCTATTCTAGAAAGATGACTATTTTAAAAAAGTAATATCTAAAACTCTTTATTTCTCTCATAGTATGTTTTGAGTGCTGTTTTCATAGATTTTATTTAACCATGAGCTGTTTTGTCTCGTAAATTTTGCTTTAATCATCTACTGTCCAAGTAAAATAAATGTTAATGTTCTGATATTTCACATTTGTATTTTTTTACCTCAAATTCATAAAGTGAGAGTGATCACATTCGAATACAACTAATTTCTTTTAAAAAAAAAAAAAGTCGTAAAGCCTAAGCATTGTTGTTCAGTGAACTCAAAATCAGTTACATGGCTTCACAAGTTAATTGGCTCTTAGAACCTCTAGCACAGCAGTTAGTGAACTGAGTCATAATTTAACAAATGTTATCCAGCTGTTCGTTTTCAGACCTCATTTTCAAAAGGTAAGCGAGTATTATTAATTCTCCCTTAATTCTGAAAGATTTACTCTCTAGTCACCCACAGGTGAACAGCCTGTGTAACTTGGTAAATGACTTTTTGGAGGCCAGGCCAGTCTGCCAAGGGGACTTTGTTTCCTGGGATTGCCAGGACACGAGGGGTGCGAGACAGTATCCTGCTAGGACAACACAGGTGTTACCCACAATCAATTTATTTGTACTCCATTTTCTTCTCAGCTGACTTAAATCCTTGTTTTTAATCCTGCCTTGTGGTTTTTGTGGTTACCTGGTGTCCCTGCACAGATTCACCCCTCAATAAAAGCTTCATTGCATTTTTATTGATTTTTAAGTCAGTTGCTAGAATAAGAGACTGACATCTCCTCTTCTGGATAGTAGAAAATTCTCATCTCTCTTCTTTGGTCTTTGACATAAGAGTAACAAAGAGGATAATGCCTTGATTGTGCTTTCATTATTTCTGTCCTAATTGTCTCTGTTTAGGAAGAGCAAAACAAAACCAAAAGTGTTAAAAGCACTTCCAAAGTAAATTTCTTTAATGGTCTTGTATGGCACTTGTGGATTTAAACATCTTGGAGAAAAGACAGGATATAATTAAGTATAACTTGAATTGTATTATATTTTCATTACTGGCATTGTCAGTATAGTTAATATAAATGCACGTCCTAAGAAAATAACTTATCAGTTTATTATCTTCTTACCTAGACTTCTTGCTGAGTAAATAAAGTGATAAAGCCAGGAGATAACCATCTACTACTTCACTCTAAAATTAGCCTTTAAAATTGCTTAGTGGGCAGCCAATCTTTCAAGAATGTGTTACTCTACATGGATGATTGTAATGCTTTGTTAATTTTTTAAAAATATTTTTTTTAGTTGTACGTGGACACAATATCTTTATTTACTTATTTTTATGTGGTGCTGAGGATAGAACCCAGTGCCTCACACGTGCGAGATTGGCACTCTCTACCACTGAGCTACAGCCCCAGCCCACTTTGTTAATTTTTGACAGACAAAAATACTAGATCACCAGCCATGTTTACCCATGTTTACCCATCAGGGTAAAAAAACTACCCATCAGGTAGTTTTTTCAGTTATCTTAGAGATCAATGCCACACTTAATGTGGGCATCACTTGTTGAGAGGATCAGATTCTAAGTCACCCAAAGCCACCCGGCTAAAATGAGCTGAAGTTATTTAATAACTAGAATTAGATAATTAATTATAACTCATGAAAATTGATTTGGTCATAAATTCAAGATTAATGTATTCTTGTGTTGGCGATATGGGGAAAAAAGGTCTTCTTCCCACTGACATGTGGGATACTCACAGATAAACTTTAAAACATGTGTATGACTTTTGTAAAGAAATCATCTATCCTTAAGGTATTAAAGATCCACATATATGTACAAAGATGTCATATTCTTTGAAAAATTAAAATATCCATTATTCCAAATTATTAATATACTATAATCTCAGGAAATTTACATTTTTTCCCTCATGGGTTGACTAAATTATCTGATTTCCAAAAATAAACAGTTGAGAAAAATAGAAGAATTGCTTGGAAAATGAAGAACTATTGTGCTAAGATTGACTGTAAGTAAGATAGAAAGTTATTGAAAGAAAGTAGATATGTTTCAAATATAGAATAGCAAGGGATAAATAGGAATAATATAGAATAAAATGCAGTGCCTGAATTAAAGTCTGTTTAATCTTTGAAAAAGGTTAAACAAAGCAAAATAATTGGTAAAATGATTAGTTAATAATCACAGAGAAGCAGTTTCAAGTAATAATACTTGAATATTTAGTTTATAGCTAAGTCACTACCTTTGCTAAAAGAAATTCCAATTGGATAAAATAGTTAAATGCTAAAATGCTGTTTTTGAATCACATACAAATAGAATAAAGACATTAATAAATATAAGAATAGTATCTTGAGACCTTTGGTATTTAATTACATAAATCTTAACAACAGAAGTTACCAGTAATAAATAAGCAGGGTATATAAAATGTTTGCACCAAATATGGCAGATTAAGATCTTTGTTATATAAATAGGAAATGAAAGTGGGCAATATGTAGGAGGATATATAATTAACAGCCAGACTCAGAATAATAATCAACCTATTAATAAAAGTTGCAAATTTAAACAACATTGATGTCTTTGCCTGCTATATATTCAATAAAAACAAGTTCACTTGTATTTCAAAAGTTTTATTTTATATTTCATTCACACACTATGTGGATTAGGAGTTTGGCTACTCATATTGAAAAACATAAGAAAAAAATTCTGGGAATTTATCCCAAGAAAATAATTATAATGTAGGAGAAAATATCTATATATCTAAAAATGTTTATTGCAGCATAATTTTGTATACATGATATGTATGCAATGTTGCTAAAGTAGTTCTTATTTTATAACTAAAATAATTTATAAACAAAATAACTACTTCTTAAAGTAGTTGTATCATAAATAAATTATGGCATTCTACATAGTGTATTTTGTGACAAGTAAAAATTGTGATTTTACACATTGTGGCAGCAATAGAAAAAAATTCTAATATTCATTCAATAAATGGTAGTTGATAATATGTGCCAGGCAGTCAGCTCATAGCAGAAAACAAGATATGTAAGAGTTTCTGTGTCATAGAATATGATCATGGTTGAAAAGAACAGGTCTCTGAGTGCTGAGATACCAGCCATGTGAAAAATGGCATATTGAACACATGGGCAGGCACAGAGCAAGCTGACATGTTTGGCTTAGCCAGATCACCAGACTTTTTCTTAGTGTATATAATATTTTGTGCAATTAAAAACAAAATCAGTAAACCAACACTTAAAGTGTCGTCCACATGCCGGGGTAATATGAGAAACCTTTGAGTGCTGGGCTTCACTTCAGGGTACTTTCCCAGTCATTCTAAATGTGTGGCTGCTGTGGTTGCTTTTTAATGTTCCTCAGATGGCTTAAAAATTTGCACAGCATACTTATAGTCATGGGCAGACTTTAGCTCTCAAACATTCATAGTTCATCCCTCCAGTTATTGCCCCGAAGTCTTTTCCCTGTTGCAGAAGGTTAAGTTTCAAGTACCTGGTTTTAAAAGAAAGTGTTGAATGACAGAGCCCAGACAAAGAACTGCAGTTCTGCTCTTAAAAATGTCAGCAGTGGCTTCATCCACCCTCTCCACAAAGACCAGTTCTTCACATCAAGAAGCAGCTGAGACTGTTCACAGGTTTCGAGATACATTCAAATAGAGAATTTAGGTGAATAACCCTGAAACAAACACATTCTTCTGACTCCGTGGGGAAGTATGGCGTGGTGGGCCGTGTCGCTCTGTAGAGTTGCTGTAATGCATGAAGTTTCCACCACAAAATGTGTCTTTCTTTGTATTAAGACTCTTATCTCAAAATAATGCTTAATAAAAATATAAATATTCTAAAACCTATAATTGGGCAAAGTTTGATTTTTTAAATTATTCAATTATAGTTTGATAATCTCATCCTTTTTCATAATTCTCAATCACAGTTGCTCATGGTAGTGACTTGAGAAAGTGAGCCAAAAGCCCAAACTATTACCTTAACTTTGGTATTTGGGAGACTGAAACTGTTTTGTCATGTCCCTCCCATTGTAATACGTGGGCAAAGCATTTTTGCCATCCTGGCTTTTTCTTTTTTTCATTTCTTTTATGCTGAAAAGGAAAATGCCACATTAGGAGCTCAGAGCCCAAAGGAATAAGAAATTCTTAGATACCTTTGAGAAATTTATCTAAAATGTAGGCAGGTAAGTTCCTTGCGTTCTTTAAGGAATGTGAGAACTGCTTTAGCATTTAGTAGTTCTTGGTTTTCCAAGCCACTGGGTAATGACAGTGTGCCCTATAAAGTGTTGATATATTATTCAGTTTAATTACCACAAGGCCTCCTTTTGTCTTATGAAGAATAAAGACGTTGAGAAGCAGTGCAATCAGTTGAGGGTTTTTGTAAGCCTAACTGATCAATTCTAATGATATAGATGGATGAAGTCCTGATTTTATGGAGCGTATAGTTTAATTGGAGAAGAAACATTAACCTATCGGAGGTGATTGCAGAACAATTAAATGGGAACCTGGGTAGCATTATAAATGTCATGACTACAGAGAATTTATTTTTATTATCTTACTGTAAGTGGATGCCATTAGAATACTATCATGGCACATTTTTTTAAAGTTTACATTGATACTTAATTTTTTAAATTTTTTGTGTGTTTTTTTTTTTTTCCTTTTTTGAGGTAGGGAGTTTTAATTTCAAGGTCCTTGGCAGTTTTTCAGCAGTCCAAATTTCAACTAAAACAAATCTTTTTGAGTCAAGGCATCCAGAGTTTCCCTACTTGGGTAACCAGCATACATATATTACATATTAGAAGTTCCCACCCCCCCCACACACACACACACAACTTTCCCTAACCTATTTTTTCCAGCATGTGAAGAGGAACAGAGTGGGTCCCCTCTGGAATAATTTCTTATGTTTGCCACTAAGGACACCATTCTCTCCTTTCCCCCAGTAAACTATCATTTTAGAATTCAAAGATAAGTAGGGAGAGGGAATAACAAAACATCTTTAACAAAAAAAAAAAAAAAAAGACTCTTCTTCCCTGTACTAAACATAGAAACATTTTTAGGCTCATTTACCTACTAAGAGAGTTACATTTGTGATCTGATAGGAATGGCTACCAGCATAACTTGGTCCACTGAATTAAGCCAGATTGTTACTTAGTTGAAGTTATATTATTTGCCAGAAGCTGCACAACAGACCTGACGCTTAAATTACTTCAAGTCCTGGCCATAGGTCATCTTTAATATTTTCATCATGCCATGCTCAGGAAAAAATGTTAACACATTGGAAAATAAAGAGATTAGGCTGTTTATTTTTAACATGAATTACATTGATAGTTTCAGTAAATTTACTAGTGTAAACATGAAGCTTTGCCAATAATCAGGTAGTCACATGTGCATTAGCTTTTCCACTCACTGATCCTGAGCAAATATTAGAATCTCAGATTCATTTTTTTCCTCTCTAAATTATGAATAGCAACTAATACTTGTTTCCTAGAGGTCATTGTGAAAGATAATGATCACCTATATGATCATTTTTCCAGTCAAGTGGAGATTTCCTTAAGTAGGGTAAAGTTTTAGTGGCTGAATTCCTCCCTTTTACTTTTATGTCAAAGAGAGAGAATATGAGAAATTGAGATGTCAATTAAGTAGGTAAAATGGATCCATTGACTTTATTAAGATAAGTTATTTATAACTGAAAAAAAGCGCAAAGATACAGTGTTCATTTTTTAAAGGATTCTCCCATCTCTGGCCTCACTCTTAGACGGTTTTTTGCCATTTTTGTGAAGACCAGTGGTTCTTGTTTGCCAATAGACATTTTTTCCTGTATTCTGTGCTTAAATACAATGGGTTGTGTATTTGTAACTATCTTTCTATGCAGATAATTAACCAATTCCCAGTTTTCTTTCAGGTAAATGTTGGAGATATAGTTATAATAAAAGGCAAAGAGTATATACCTGCTGACACTGTACTTCTCTCATCAAGGTAGAGATACCTACTGATGCTCAAACAGTGTAGAGGATGGTTTCTCTACCCTGCATTGACCTTGTGATTTCTCCAAGGAAATAAGGAATAAACGAAGAATTTTAAACCTCTCCAATGATTTTTAATTAAAGCACTTAAAAACTTGATTGGACTTAAAGGGCTCTTTCATGTTTGCCATATAAAATAAATAACAGGTATTATTATTATAATCCAAAAGTTAAAATTATAATTGAGAGTCTCCTCTTCCTCTGGATGTGTCCAGATTCATGTGTGTGGACCACAAATCTTTTAAATTTCTGATCATTTATTTTATGTAATCCATGGATTGGGTTCTGTTGATTTTATCTTTTGATCCTTGTTCATCATAAATTCCTTTATGATGTGTTCATATATCTCTGCAAAGTTTCTTGATCCTTATGGTGAAACGGCACAAGAAAATGGATGAATGATTTCTTTTTTTGCCATCATACCTTTCAAAATGCCATCCTCTTCCAACCAAAGATTAAGTACTTGCTCTTTTTCTTAAACTCTTTCTGTTACTGAGTTTAGACAATTTTTGTTATACTCGTATTTAAGATAGTCATAAATTAGTATTCAGAACATATGGCAGTTACCCTTCAAAGAATGTGATTTTCAAATGGTTTTATGTTTAAAAACTGTAAAACTAGTCCTAATATAAATTAAGTAGAAATGTTTTTACTATTATAGAGGTTGTTTATCATCATTTCCTTGGACAGTTTTATTTGTAATATCCATATGTAAATATGGAGTGTCCTTTTTTCAAAACCTATTTAATCAGGTCATGATTCAAAGTGATTTGGTTTATGACAGGCTAGTGAAACTTGAGCAAGTAAGAGTTACCCAGATATTTACAGAAGTAAGTCTATAGGTAGTTGAAAAAGCTAGAGGTGGTTCTATTTCCATATTTTATAGTCAGTTACTTTTTGTGCCACATACAGATGGGTTTTTGTTTTCAGAAAAATTAATATGGATTTTTTAAAATCAGCCTTTCTGTTCTTACTTTTCTTTGCTTACAACTATTTGTAGGGGTAAAATTTCTAAAATTGAAGTAAAGCTTTCTGTCTACACTTGGCCATATGATAGCAAACTTAAGGGTGATTTCCTTGCCATTGTCTCAGGTTCTGAGTAATATTGGGTGTTAAAAGGAGCTCTGCTTAGGAGTCAGAAAACCAGAATCCTTTTCCTGGCTTGGTGATTCTGAACAAACTACATAGTCTCATCCTTTCATATAGAGGAAGATGGACTAAGTGATCAAGCCCTGATGTTCCTCAATTTTTTTTAATTGATGAACTTTCAGAGTACCTAATAGAATGATGTACATTTGATGGTTATTAAATGATAAATGTGCTAATGATTGGCCATCTAGATATTATATGTACATAAGAAAGATCAAAGTGATGGTAAAGTCTTCTAGCAATTAAGAAAGTACTGATGTTTTCCTGATTAAACTCTTCAAGACATTACCCTAGAATCATATGTGCTGAGCCATTCATGTACAGTGTTTATTTTTGTCTGCCAGACTATCCTGCCCTGACTTTAATTCTAACTTGAAATTTTTAAAAAAATGTTTGTCATCTTTCTCAATGCAAACCAAGAAGCGCCTTAGCAAGCTCTGTGTTTGTACAGTTGGATGCTCAATGGAAAATTCTATGCAAATATTCCAAAATATGAAAAACTCTGAAATCCGAAACACTCCTGGTCCCAATCATTTCAGATAAAGGCTACTTAATCTTTATTTTTAAAACTTTAGAGCATTTTTTATAGGATTTGTTTTCTAAACATTGAAAACATTTCCTAGTGGCTATCAATATTAGTAGATCAAAATAGCTTTTATGTCTTTCCTCCAAAGATTATCATATTTTTAACAGATTATCTGATCCATTGCTTTGGTTATTTAGTAATATATAGGTTGTGCTACCAGGCAAACATTTCTCCTCAGAAGCACAATACCACCTTTCAGCTGGCATGTTGGTTTACTTATGTAGCTCTTTTGAGACTACATTAACCTTAACAATTAGGTTATAGTTTTTATCATCATTTAACAGAAAGAGAAATTTTGACATTGTTTTACATTTAGCTACTTCAGTGACTAAGTCAAAGTTGAGATATTCCTGATTATCTTTACTATGTCACACTGTCCACTGGCGAAATAAGTTCATGCTGATTTTCACCAGCAAGTAGGCACTGTTAAGCAGTAAGAATAAACAATTGCTTGTAATATTTCTAAATGTTTTTCATTTTTAATTATAGTGCATCTTCTGTGAATTAGTTTGAAATTAAGGCATGAACATGGCTGAAAGTTACTGTGTTTCACTTTTGAAATGGAGAAACTGAAATTTTAGTATAATACATTTATGCGTTGAGAAAGTATAAAATAGAGTAAAATAACTCAAGCTAAATTCAAGTCCAAATATATTCTTAGTATGTCTATTTCATGCCCTCCCTGAAAATTTTTCTCTTGTTTCAAAGGCTTAAACTCCTCTCTACATCCCCCCGCCCCGCTACCACCCCAAACCACAATGTATTACCTAGACTTTGTTATTAGATAACTCCAAATGCTACAATTAAACCTTCTAATTTTTAAGACCCATATCTTTGCTTTTTTGCATTAAAGGTAATACAGTATTTATACAATTAACTTTAAAAACATTTTTGAATCAGAATATTTTTAACAAAGTTTTCCTTTTTTTTTTTTTTTAGTGTGTTGTGGTTGGAGGAAGCTAGTATAGTATGCTTTGCAAATAACTTCCACAATTGTTTCTTTGCTTTTGGGATAGTATGAGACCTACAGCAGAAGGAATGAGATTAAGGAATTAGATAAAGTAATGTCTATAAGTTAGAGTAGCTCTTTATATGAAGTGTTTTTATTCAATTTGATAAGAAATGCTTATATTGGAAGTTTTTGCATTAAAAATTGAAAATTGGTTTTAAAAGCAAATAAGTAATCCTTATTAAATGTTTTCTTATGCTTTCAGACCTGATTAAAATAAGTTTTGAAAAAAATGGCATTAGACATTTTTATTAACATGTATTATTTTCTATAATAATTTCAAACCTCTGTCTCTTTTGTCCATTTGTTTGTTTTTTTCTTCTCTGTTATTCATTTTTTCCCCACTCTAATTATTTTAAACTGGGACATGTAGGTGGCAGTAGGGGAAATAGTGAAAGTGACCAATGGGGAACATCTCCCAGCAGATCTCATCAGTCTGTCCTCAAGGTTAGAACTACTGAGTTGTACAGGATGTGTGTAAGTGGGTCCTCACCCTAAACCAGAGAACAGTTGCACCCAAATATGCTTGAGTTCTGTGTCTCTTTCTTTTAAATGAACTTTTTTATATTCTTGGTGATGGACATTTCACAGATGTTTTAAAAGCATTTTATGAATACCATATTGGAAGATGTCTGTGCCTCAAGTAGGCAGATTTAACTCCTATTGTAATTGATAGGAGTCCAAGAGACATGCAGTAAAGGTAGATTTTAATTTCCTATGCATCATTAATAATAGCCATATTTAACAACATGCCTCAATACTGAAGCTTAACTTACTACCTCGACAGGATATTGTTTTGAACAGTGTTAAGCTTTTCCTGAAACAGCCATGGAAAATTGATTGTATTTCTTAAATACATTCTTATTTCTCATATTTGAAATTTTCTACAAGTTCCATAGAATACCTCTAGTGATTATGACTGTAATTTGGGTTTAAATAGGGTTTACAGAGGACCCCCTGCACAAAGCTGGATGTTGTACCTTTTGTACCGCATGCTTTGGGACTAGTTTTTAATCCCACTTGTAACTCGTGACAATGTGCACGTTCCTGTGATAAACTTCAGCCGTCTTCTAGTGTCTGTATTGTGATTTGCATCTTGTTTCATTTCCACTTACTAATCAAGACGCCTGCTTTGCCTCTCTGACTGTAGTTTGTGTTTTGGATGTGATCATATTTGCTGAAGTGTTTCTGATCTGGCATGATTCCTGACTTCTTGCTGCCTTTTCACAGCACTGTTAAGAACTGCTTTCCTCACAGCTGTTTTCAGTGGTTATTAAGAATGTTCTGACTTTGGATGCATATTTATTTGCCCCACTTCAAATGAAATCATCCATTTAAGCTTCATAACTTCTTAGCTATTTAAAGTCTTGGAAAATCTGTTTTGTGAGAAAAAAAAATAGAATGTTATTCTCACTCATTCTGAGACTGGCCTTTGATAAGTGTATCATCAGTAAATTTCAATGCATCTTATCACCAGAATGTAGAATCAGTGTTGTCATTTAGCGTTGTTTGTGATCATTCTTCTATAGTATCAAAAGATGTGTTTTATAATTTCATAGATCATTTAATGTTCCAAATGTATATATAAGTAAGTCACAAATTTGAAGCAATTGCTAGGACCAAGTTACTATTGTGACAGTGATTTAAGAAGTAAAGTTTTGAATAATTGATAGAAAATATAAACATTGGAAGACTTTTCTCCAGTTGGGAAAAAGGAGCAGCCTTTATGAATGACCCCATAGGGAAAACTTGCAGTTACTTTAAAATGAGACTGTCAAATATTGGATTAATGTCCATGTGTTTAAGTAGTTTCCAAAAATCTTTAGGCTATGAAATTCAGCTAACTGCCCAATTCTGAAATTGTGGAATAGTTTCTTTTTGCACATGTACAAATTGGAAGTTGATTAGAAAATTCCAGGTGTTTGTGACTTGCAAATTTCTTTCCTTGGAAGCTTTGCACACACTCATAAGAAATTATATTCATAACTGCTTACATGACAGCAATTTAGGCTTTTATGTATGCTACTGAGATTGGAATTCAGAATGGTTTTCCATAGAGTTGAGGATCAGATTGTCCAGCTGCACAACCAACTCACATGTCTATTGTTGCTGGGCAGTAAAGTATCATGGGAAGGGAACAATGTAAGACAGGGATATAGCATCTGCAGTAAAACTGAAGAACAAAGCTCTTAGGCCACTGCACGCCAGACTTCACTGAAACACTTTGTTGGGGACTCAGGAAGTGGTTCTTTTAGGTTTGAGACAAGGAGCAATAAGGCCAAATTGGCCAATTTTAGTTTTGTCTTTTCCTTTCTCAATTATCTCTGAAGCACTTTGAAGAGAGAGGAAAAAATAGAGGCAGAAAAATATTGTTCACTTTTATTGTGAAATCTATCCATGTAGCTTTTAAAAGGAGGCTTAAATTTTTAATATGACATGCTCCGTATGATACTATTTATTATTATAACTAAAAGGTGAAAAAAAATGCAAGCTTACAGAAGTAGCAATCTGGAATTTTCTAATCAGCTACTTTGCTTAACCAATTTACATGTGGGCCATGAACATGAAATCTTCCTTGATATTTCTGAACTAAAGATAAATCTGGGCACAAACTACTTTACATTTCAGATACAGTCTGTGTTGTGTCTGTATGGATGAACAATTTAAAAATAACGTGACAGAACCACTCATTTCATTATCTTGAAGACCATTAGTGAGTGTTGTCAGGAAATTGCTTTGGGGTCCTTCTGGCTGGAAAGCTGATCCATGATTTGTCATGCATGGGTTCTGCCTCACAGCATCTTGCTGTTGGAATGAAAAATCATCTAGAAGCTAGGTGACTCTAGCTTTGCCTAGAACAGAAGGCTTTGGTGAGTCTGAACATGTAAATATTCTGCTTTCTTTCTCCCACTAAATCTTTGTGCTTCTCAATTCTAAACAACAGTGAGCCCCAGGCCATGTGCTACATTGAGACATCCAACCTAGATGGTGAAACTAACTTGAAAATTAGACAGGTAAGTTCTGATATAGATTCATCGACTTATTCCTGTTTTAGTACATGGAATGAAAATCTTCTTTCTTAGTATTACTGTCTTCAGGGGAGGTAATTCTGTCCAAGTACTACTTGCTCATTGAGGTTTCATAAACCAGTGTTAAGTAAATGGAATATTCAGATTCACTCGCTGATTAAATATAGTTCATCATATAAGTACTATTTGTAAGATATTTTATGTAATAGCCAACACTTGGGTAATAATAATCATAGTGGTTCTAAGTGCTTTGACATATGGCAGCTTATTTATTTTTCCTATCCACCTGGCCCAAATTATTATTTGGCTTTGCCATATTGAAAAGCTGCGGCTTTCTTTGTTATTCTGAAACTCACTCACCTTGTGGTTTAATATTAGCTTAGATTTCTACAGTTCCTTTTCATACCATCCTAGCAGGAAACAAAAGTCAGTTTCAGCAGACTGAGATTGTATAGTGCTAAACATTGATTTCACTTTAGGAAAGAAATTTCTCCTTGGAGACTTCAGAATATTTTTGTAGACTAGTTTATACTTTAGTACTGTCACAAAAGCTGCCCAAATCTTGTGCTAAAAACCGTGCTCAAGTTGGGAAAGAAGGTAACCCTAAATTGTGATTTGACAAAGTATTGTGTAATGGAAGAGAATTGTTCATAAGATAGTCCTAAGACCTGGATGAATCCCCCAGCCCCAAGCCAAACACAACTTATTTAACATCCTCTTTGCTTATTTAAAAAATTTTAAACAGGGCTTACCAGCAACCTCCGATATCAAAGACATTGACAGTTTGATGAGAATTTCTGGCAAAATTGAGTGTGAGAGTCCAAACAGGCATCTCTACGATTTTGTGGGAAATATAAGGCTTGATGGCCATGGGTATGTAAAAGCACATTTGCTGCATTTTCTTGTGTTGTTGAATGTTTTCCGATTCTGGGTACCTATTATTTTCCTCTGCTCTAAGTTTGAATACTTAAAACCCTTTTATAAGAAAGTCTGTTTTCCAGCCCAAGTCTTATAAAAATGTTGAATCTTAACCTATTCATGTGGTATAGGCTTTCCCAGGGTTCCTGCCAATATGGTAGTTGGAAGTTTTCAGGGATATTCCACATTCCTGGCAGATTCTTCTGGGGGTAAATTACCTGTGACTTGTCCTTTGACCAGAATACGTGTTACGGGCTTAACTAGCCAGTATTCATGACCTGGGTCCTTTCCTGTGACCTCTGGATGCCTTGGGGAGTTCAGGCTGTATCCCCAAAGTGTTTATTGTACTGGGTGATTTGTTTCCTTCTCTGTGTAATTTTTTTTTATATTGTAGTTGGACACAATACCTTTATTTATTTATTTTTATGTGGTGCTGAGTATCAAACCCAGGGCCTCGCATGTGCTAGGTGAGCGCTCTACCACTGAGCCACAATCCCAGCCCTAGTTTTTTAATTTCTGGGGGAAGGGGGTGTGCTGTGGATTGAACCCAGGGCTTTATGCATGTTGGGCAAGTGATGTACCACTGAGCTGTACTCCCAGCCCTCACATGCACTTTGCTAAACCATGTTATCATATGTAACATCTTTTGTTTTTCCTTGCTTCCTATCTCTTTCTCCTCTCTTTCCTACCACTTCTCTACCTCTTCCAAGATTCATTCAACCAGTATTTCTTATGCACCTAGAGTGTTAGGCCATTTACAGATATTAAGGCACCAGTGAATAATGCAAATAAGTACTCCTGCCCTAGCGTCTGAGTTCATTCAGGCCACTGTAACAAAATGCCTTAGATTGGACAGTTTATAAACAACAAAAATATATTGCTTGCCATTCTGGAGTCTGGAAAATCCAAGACCAAGGTACCAGCAGACTTGGTGTCAGATGAGGACATGTTTCTCATTGATGGCACTGGCAATATGTCCTCAGATGGTGGAGGCCCTCGGGACTTCCCTGCAAGGGCCCAAATCCCATTCACGAAGGCAGAGCTTTCATGATCTAATCACCTTAAGACCACACCTCCTGATATCACTGTGCTGGATTAGGTTTCAACTTATAAATATTGGGGGCATACAGATATTTAGACCATAACATCTTGTGAGATTACTTTCTCATAGTAAGGGGAAGGGCAGACTGACAAACAATGACACGATAAGTAAGAAAATTCTGCCTCTATTAAAAAGCAACAAATGCTGTGCAAAAGATGTCATAGGATAAGAGAGTGGGAGAAGATGGGAGGGAATCAGGATGGTTGCAGTCAGCCTCATTGAGAAGGTAACATTTGAACAATGATGAGTAGGAGGTGAGGAACTTAGCCATATGAAGATTTGGAAGGAGAGGATTCCAAACAAAAGAAATAGTGCAAGTTTTTAATTATATTATTACAATGATCTTAAAGAGGGAAAATACCTGGAGCAATTTGGGAATGTTAGGCCATTGTGGTTGGAATTGTGTGATCAAGGAAGACAGTAATAGAAGAAAATCCAATAGCAAATAGTGGGCCATATCATAGGAAGCTTTGTAGGTCGTTGTGGGGGTGGATTCAGAATGAAATGGGAATCCACTGAAAGGTTTTGAGGGAGGAAGATCAGCAGTTTGGTTTTGGACTGTTTGTGACGTCCAAACAGAGATGTCCAAGAGACAATTGAATATATATATATATATATATATAAAGTTTGGGATAGATGTCTTGGATGAAATAAATTGGGGAGAAGTTGGCAGAGATACATAAAGCCATGTGACTGGGAAAAACCATTGAGAGTGCAAGGGTCTAAGCAGAAAAATTGAAAGATCCAAGGACTCTCCTAGGATTGTCTAATATCAAGAGGTTGTAAAGCTGGGGATATGACTCAGTGGTAGAGTACTTTCCTACTATGCATGAGGCCCTGGGTTCAACCCCCAGAATGGGAGTAGAGTAGGGGTGAGGTTGATTTAAAAAAAAAAAAAAAAGAAGGACTAGTGAAAGAGACTGAGATCACTTGTAGGGTGAAAAGACAGAGCAAGAGGAAACTGTACCAAGGTAGAGAGCAAAGCACAAAATCGAGTCAGATGTTACTGATGGTCAGGTTGAGGGAAGCTGAATATAGAATCAGTTGGGTTTAGCTAGTGGACATTATTGAACTTGACTGGAACAGGTGGAACCTATGAGCTTGTGTTTGAGATCATAGAAGGAGTTGAGAATCACAAATACACTTCTTTTTCAAGGGTTTTTTTTTTTTTTTTTGCAAAGGGGAATAAAGAATGGGGTAGAACTCCACAGTATACCTTATCTACCAGGCATTTGTAGAGGCCAACTAAATGTAAACTAGATGCACTGATTCAATCCACCAACCTGGGAAAATGTTATTGGTGCTTTCTTCATCTTGTAATTGCAATATTAGAGATTGGAACCCTAAAAGACATTTGAAGTATTCAGATCTACCAAGAGCTTGTCTGCAACCATCAGAGTAATTGTTGTTTAAAATTTTTAACCCAAGTTATCTTTCCCTGAACATATGGTTATATACTACTGATAGCTTTGGCCATTTATACAAGTAGTGTTTCTTTAGTGTGACATTCCTAACTGGCCAGCTTCCATTTCTTATCAGTTCCCCTTCAAATTGATGCCAAGCAAATTCATGCTGTCAAGGAGAAATTTTGTGTGATGGTGCCAAGATTTAGGATACAGATAGAATTTATATAATAGCATGTTTTGTTTTATATGATATGTAGAAGTAGATCTTAAAGACCTTTAGCACATTTGATTTTGACCGTGATTACCCAGAGATCTGGAGACCCTTTGGAATGAATGAGTATACTTTGATTCCTTTAAGGATGAGGGTCATGGTCTAATGCCAGAAGCTTTGAATTCCAGCTGTGATGAAAACAATATATTCTTAACTCCCTTGTAATTAAAAAGTAGTGCATTTTGCTTTTTAACCGTTTGTACCTATTTCCAGTCAATCCAGACCACAAATTCTGAGTGACAGTTCCTACATTATGCCCTGTTGGAATAAGTGAGGAATAGTGGGTACCTGTGTTACCTAGAGCATAGTCCAGCAGCTTCTCCAGAACTTCATGGAAACCTGCTATAAGCCCAAGGTCCCTCCCAACTCTCAAGTGCACCCCAAATTTTGAGACATATCCAAGAAGGGTTCTTCTGCTGTGGTTTCAATATGATTTATCTCCCAAAAGTTTATGTGCCATAATACCCCAATGTAATGGTATTGAGAGGTGATGGGACCCAGGGGGAGGTAACTAGGTCCTGGGGGCTCCACCCTCAGAAGGATTAATGCCCATATCACAGGGTTAGTCATGGCAAGGACAAGTTGTTATACAGTGAGGCCATCCCATGTGTTTGGCTCCTTTCACACAGCTCTGTGTCACTTGTACTCCCCCCATGTGATGCTATCTGCCATGTTTTGACACAGCATGAAGCTCTTGCCATATGTGGTCACCTAATCTTGGATTTTTCAACCTTCAAAACCGTAGGTTAAAATAAAAATATTTTCTTATACCCAGTCTTGAGTATTTTTTTAACTAGTCACACAAAATGGACGAAAGTAGCATTCCTTCTGGACCCATACAGTTGGGGGCATGGTGGTGCATGCCTGTAATCCCAGCAACTCGGGAGACTGAGACAGGAGGATCTCGAGTTCTGGACCCATACAGTTGGGTCCATAAGGCATGCTTTTGTACCTAGAGAATGAAAGTTATGGTTGGTTTTCCTTTCTTTAAATTAAAATGCACTCTGTATTAAGGATTCACCTGAGTATTGTTCTCACCCACTCATCTTGATTGATTTCACCTAAGCCAGAGAATTTGTATAGGTCCTGAAAAAATGTCTAAGACCCAAGCTGCTGCTGGCCTCTGAGCTTACTAGATAGAGCATGAAGGCCTTAGTCACATGAAGCTTTCATTAACAAAGATTCTGTGTTCTCTGTAGACTTTGGGGGTGAGGGGGGAGATTGTTTCCTTCTTTCTTTTTAAAAATTTTTTATATTTTTATGTTTGAGTTTTTTGCTGTTTTATTCAGCTTTTTCACTGCTGTGACTAAAATACCCCATAAGAACAATTTTAGAGGAGGAAAAGTTTGTTTGGGGGCTCACAATTTCAGAGGTCTCAGTCTATAGGCAGCTGGCTTCAGTACTTGGGGCTCAAGATGAGACTGAACATCATGGAGTAATAGAGTGGTGGAGGGAAGCAGCTCACATGATGCTCACATCCCCAATGCTCCAGCCACACCATACCCAACTTCATTACTACTCAACTTGTCCCATCAGGGGATTAATTCACTGAATGGGTTAAGGCTGTCATAACCCAATCATTTCTCCTCTGAACCCTCCTGCATTGTCTCACACATGAGCTTTGGGGGACATCTCACATCAAAACCATAACATTTGCTTTTGCTTTTTTTTCCTTATTAAAATGAAAACTAGGTCATAGAAACCCTTGAGCCATTAACTTTGTATATTAAATTTCCAACATATCTGTGATAGTGCTGTATCCTTGTATAAGTGTGTATCACTTAATAACTTTCCTTAGAGAGTGGCCTTACAGAAAACCCACAAGTGACCCAACTTGAGTTTTATTCATGAAAATGTGGCTTAAATTACAGGAGATGAATAACTTCAAAATGCTTACCATTTGCTGGGCACACGCCTATAAATCCCAGCGGCTCTGGAGGCTAAGACAGGAGGATCACAAGTTCAAAGTCAGCCTCAGCAAAATCAAGGTGCTAAGCAACTTAGTGAGACCCCATCTTTAAATAAAATACCAAAAAAAAAAAAAAAAGCGTTGGGGATGTGGCTCAGTGGTTAAGTGCCATGAGTTCAATCCCGGTACCCAAAAAAAAAAAAAAAAAAAATGCTTACCATTTCTTGAAAATGTATTTGCAATTCTTAGAGAATTGATCTTCAGGTACTATAAAATAAATGACCTGGAAGTTTAAGTACAGGGACCTGTCTCTGTGGGGGAGATATGGCAGTGCTACATACAGTGAGATCTGTGTATGTATCTTATTGTGTGTGTGTGTGTGAGAGAGAGAGAGAGAGTAAGAGACAGAAAGACAGAGAGACAGACAAGAGAGACAGAATTTGAACCTCTATTATACGTAAAGCTATTTTTAATTTGATGTGTGGGTGTATGTTGGGTGGTATGCTGCTGTTCTCTTAGTCCACCATTTCCAAACATTTCAGGAAACTAAATCAACTTATTAATTTAGGAAAAGTCATAAATAGGCTTAAGAATTAGCCTCTGAATTCCAAAACACTGTCTTGTCTTTGGGATAGCATATTAGTTTGCTCAGGCTGCTATAACAGTATACCACAGACTAGGTAGCTTTCCCAGGAGAAGTTTTTTTCTCACCATTCTGAGTGTTGGAAATCTGAGATCAGGATAGTAGTGTGGTTTGATTCTGATGAGGGTTTTCTTTTTGTCAGTAAAAGATGTCTTCTCACTGTGTCTTCACTTGGTAGAAAGACAGAAAGCTGTCTGGTATCTCCTCTTAGAACAGCAATGATCTCAACATGAAGATCCCACCCTTGTACATTTTTAAAAACCTAATTAACTCCTGAAGTTGCCAACTCCAAATAACATCATATTAGGGGGTTAAATAACTTCAGCATAGGAATATGAAGCCAGAAGAGGGGGGCGGTGCACAATTCAGTCCATAGGAGATAAAAATATTATAGGACTTGGCTAGTAGGATATTAAGGAGGAGCAACAGCTATTTCCCAACAGTCAATAGTTACTTTCCCAGCAGCTATTCATGTCTAAAACAATAATTCTCTTTGGTGGGAAAATTACTTGCTTTCCAGAAATAAAGCAAATGTGAGAAGAGTTATTTTAATAATATATAGTGACTATATGGTGAACTGTGACTGTGCAGTTCTTAAGCATTTTGGAAAATGTCATTTCTAATGTCAGTATACTCTGTCCTAGCACTGTTCCTCTGGGAGCAGATCAGATTCTTCTTCGAGGTGCTCAGTTGAGAAATACTCAGTGGGTTCATGGAATAGTTGTCTACACTGGACATGACACCAAGCTGATGCAGGTGAGATTTTTATCTATGAAATATCTGGAGCCTCAGTCTTTTGGAAATACATCACTTGTAGCTCTCAGTGCAGTACCCCAAACAGAGCAGACCATCTGTCCCAGATTTCTGAGCCCCGCCCCACATATCCAGAGTCTGGCCCTCCAGGGTGTGTGGGGCCTTTAAATCCCCTCCCTGTGAGAAGGGCTGTGTACACAGGAACACTGGAAATTTCACCAGAGATCACCTGGTGCATGAATGGTTAGATGTGTGATCTGTTGGCAGCATTTTCTAACTATTGGTGATCATTTACGTTGTCAGTAACATGAGTGCTCCGCATTAAAGTATGTGTCTTCTAATTTTATTTTAATGCAATCATCATACTTTAAATTTTATTTTTTCGTGTAATTCAAAGAAAAGTGTGAATCAAATTGCCATTTTTATAGCACTTTTATGTAAGGCTATTTTTGCCATTAGCTTTCATCCTAGCACCAATGTTTACACTTGCCTGCGAGTGCTCCTTCTCTGCATCATGATACCATCTGTGTTCAGTGGTTCCATGGGTATGGGAAACTCACTTTTAAATACCAAGTGAAAATCTACTCTTAAAGGCTAATATCTTTGTACATTGTACAGGCACAAAGATGTTATTAACACGCAAGTGGAACTGTTCTTAATTCTTTTTATCCTTAGCTATTCTGTAAATCTTTGTTTTATACTGTCCTATGGATTCCTTAGTTAGTACAGATCTAGCATAAATAATTTGAAAGGAAACTTTCCTTTGTTAACTTTTATAATCAGGGCTACCTGCATTGCTGCTATGCTCAGGAAAACAATTACCAAATGCCACCAGAAATTTGAAGATGAGAGATTCTTCAAATGTTGCCTTCATAGTTGAGAGTTTCCAGGTGTCTGGTTGTAGGTGCATAGGTCTTGTCTTCTCCTTTCTTGAGCAGACACTCTAACTAGATGTTTCTGCAGTACTTTATTTGCTTAAATAGCCAAGTGCATCTCACCTGCCACAATGTCTATGAAAGAAATATTATTTCATAGAAAACAGGTTTGGAAAGTATAGTAGCCTTGGGGAAAAAGAGGTACCTAAACATTGACACCTGTCCTACCTGGCAAGGGCTTTGCATAATTTACATATACACAACACCTCTTGATACTGACTTGTGACTCATGTTGTCATCCTCATCACATGTCAAGTACACGTCACTAAACTGTACATTTTTTTTAACTATTCATCTTGTTTCTTTTTACAGAATTCAACGAGCCCGCCACTTAAGCTCTCTAATGTGGAACGGATTACAAATGTACAAATATTGATTTTGTTTTGTATCTTAATTGCCATGTCTCTTATCTGTTCCGTGGGCTCAGCCATTTGGAATCGAAAGCACTCTGGAAGAGACTGGTATCTCAATCTGAACTGTAAGCAATGATGTCGTGACTGCACTTTTTTACTTTCATTAATATGTGATTGTTTCACAATTTATCTGAATTTGTTTTATGAAATTTCCTGTTTCTAAAAAGAAGACCTTGTTGTCAAGATAATTTGACATTTAATGTTTATTTTTCAATGTGGTATCCAATAAAAGTGCATAAAATTTTAGGATCTCTAAATTTCAAAATCCTTGGAAACACAATAAACAATCCTTAGTAGTAGAAAATGTTCAGTAAATATAGCCCTTAACATGATATTCATAAGTAAAAGCTATTCTTTAAAAATAGTTAACTATCTGATACAGAAAGTAGATTGTGTGTGTTCTCACATGCATGCATGTTTTATTATAAAGTAGTTTACATACTTTAAAAATGTTTTAATTGAATGCACTTGCATTTGATCTCAGTAATACAGAGAGTCCTATGTTGATGCTCACCTTGACCAGGGGAAAGTGCTGTTAGATTCCCTGTGGAGCATACATCCTTGTGTAGTTGTGGTATTAATGTGCCACCCCTGGGTATTTCTAGGAAGTGGGTTTGCATTTCCATTTGGTAAATACTTAATTTCCAAGTGTAAAAACCAATTCTAGTAAAGTCTTATTGCAAAAACTGATTTTTTAAAATCTGCTTTTTATTACATTTATTTAACTTTGCAGCTCTTCCAAGTCATTTTTATACTCCCTAGTTTATTATTTTAACATGAAAAGTGGTATTATTATCATCAGTTTGTTTCTTCATATTCTTTGCAATTTGTCTGGGATACCTGTTTCACTTTCCTTATTGAGAAGGAAGAGGCCAGGTACATGCCTATTCTCCCAGTGGCTCAGGAGGCTGAGACAGGAGGATCCCAAGTTCAAAGCAAGCCTCAGCAACTTAGTAAGGCCCCAATCAACTCAACAAGGCTCTGTCTCAAAAAATAAAATTAAATTAAAAAAGCTTGGAATGTGTGGTGAAGTACCTGTGACTTCAATCCTTAGTACGAGAGAGAGAGAGAGAGAGAGAGAAGATAGGAGGATAGAAGAAAGAGTATAATTTACCTATGAATGAATAATACTCCTACAGTTGGAATTGGTTTTGCTGCCACTAATTTTGTTTACTTGCTTGCTTTTTAAAAGTGTGCTTTAAATTGAAAATGCTTTTTGAATTCATATGAAGTCATTCTATGCAATTGAAATTTTACATTTATAAACCTCTGTCTTACCTCTATTGTCTCTGGACTTGTAAAACGTGATTTGCAGTACTTAGTAGTTCTTTCACACTTTAGTACCACTGTGCAGCTCTTAATAGAATTAACAGCATATCAAACACAAGTACAGTTATCCCTCAGTTTCCATGAGTGATTAGTTCCAGGACAGAGCAAGGATGCCAAAATCCACAGATGCTCAAGTCTCTTATATATAGAATGGCATAGACTTGGCATGTAACCTATGCACATTCTCCCATATACTTAAATATCTGCATTATTTATAATACATAATACAATGTATATGCTATGCAAATAGGTGTTATACTGTATTGTTTAGGGAATAATGACAATGAAAGCAGTATGCACATATATAGACAGTTTGTGTTCTTTCCTTCCCCCCACCCCACAAATGCAGAGCCTTCAGATATGGAGGACCAACTGTAGTGTAATTCCATCTTGAAGGATGTATTTGAGAATCAGGACATGTTGTCAGCAAAATGTTCCTCCCAAATTATCCACATAAGCTGTATAATATGGAACATTCTTACTATGCTAAATTTTTATCAGTGCAAATAAAATAAATCTGTAAATTATTCTTCTCATCTCTCCCAACAGATGGTGGTGCTAATAATTTTGGACTGAATTTCTTGACCTTCATCATCCTTTTCAACAATCTCATTCCAATCAGCTTGTTGGTTACATTAGAGGTGGTGAAATTCACCCAGGCATACTTCATAAACTGGGTAAATATGAGTTATTATTGTATAATAACAATACATTTTGTTTTCTTATGATAAGATTTTTTCATCTCCCCGGGAGAAAGAAAATTTTAATTACACCTACCTTTTATTGACTACAAGATGATATTTTTGAGCCTGATGTAATTTTAACAAAATCCCCTCTTCTCAAAAGCATGCATGTTTATAAACTAGGTATCTTGAGAAAAAAATGGTTCTCTAATTCAGGAAACCTATTTTGGGATACTTAGTGGTTGAAAAGGAAGGAGACCATGAGATTGGAATTAATAAATATCTGGATTATAGTTCTAGTATTATAATTTGCTACGTATGCAAACTTTGCCTAGTCCCTTGACTTCTTTCAAGTTTATTTTCTTGACCACTCACATAGGGATGATAAAACATGCCTTACCCACATCTCCCTGTGGCTATATATATCAGGGAGTCTCTTGACATAGCAAAGAACTTCATAAACAATCAAGCACTCTACAAATGATGCTGAGTTTGCTATTGGTAACAACCAGATCATCTCTCATGTTTATTCACATTTATAGTTTATTTTTCCACACTGTTAACAATCTCAGCATGAACTTTTCTTCTTAATTATTTTCTTAAATTTTTATAATTATTGGTAAAATGTATTAGACATCTGTTTTCTAAAAAAAATTAATAAACATTATCATACTTTCAGGTTTAGATTATCAAAGTTTTAATTAATTGATCTACATTAAATCCATCAGAAAGTTTGATTTTCTTTACTTTAAGAAATTGTGCTGTTATTTTTTGTTTCTTAAATCATTTAAAGCCTTTCTATATTGACAATATTGGGATTTTTAAAAATTCAGCCTATGATACTATTGCAACTGCTCACTGTCTTCTTGTGGTAAGTGTCAGTCTCTTAATTCCTTGGTTGGAGATCAGTGTCACGTAGACATCTGAAATGAGCTGCAGACATAGCTATCCTCATACAAGGATTACATTGCTGAAGAATTTTGTAATGTGTCCAAATATAATTGAAACTTACTGAAGGGTTCTCATTCAGATATTATAAGGTAATTCACTATGAAGGTCAAATAACTAGTCAATCAATTTGTTATTTTTTATTTGGACTTTCAAAAATAATATTGACTTCAAATAATTATATAAGTTTAGTGTTGGAGAAACACAATAGGCTTAGGCTTTTAAACCACATTTCTTATATACAGATATTTTGTAACATCCCTGATGGATGGAATACTGGAGATGGAAGACTTGTTTTCCACTCTTCCCTTACAAGGCAGCTTTTTCCTTGTATAGAAATGAGATTGGTAATCATCTTCCTTTGATTCTGCTTCTGCCCAGTGAATCTGTGTGAAAACATTTTATTTTATTTCTGAATGATAGCCTTCTAAGATATTTGAACTCAGCTTCCATTCCTGCTCTTCTGCCATATCGTTTTCTCCCTAACTAAACATCCCCACCTCCTTTGATTGCTCTTTGTTTCATGAAGTGTCCAGATTACTCTCCATTCTGACCACTCTTCCCTCTTCTCTAAATATAGCCTGGTTGGCTCATGTCTCTCTTAAAATATGGCACATAAAACTCAACAGCCTCTTCCAGAAATGATGCTGATCAGTTCAGAATACAGATCTGAGAGAGATCTGTTTTGATTTAGAGTCTGGCCTTTTCATTTGATGTGTAAAATCATTAAACCACAACCCTGACTTATTGACAAACTTTTCCACTACAGAAAATATTAATTTTGTTGGCTATTAGAGTCAAACCTCATGACTTCTAGGCACAAGGCAAGAACAGATAAGTTCTTTTGGCTTTTGAGAGGTGCATTTGCTTGGCTTTCAAGTATGCTGAATACAAAACTTAGCCCAAAAGGTACAACCAGGTAGAATCTCTTGGACAATTTTCCCAGGGGTTTGACGACCTAATTATTTGAGCAACCTTTAGTTGCCCTTTTCTTTCTCATGTCATTAAGCACCTACCTAGTGTCAGACACTCCATGGAACACATCACATGTGTTATCTTACTTAGTCTTTACAATAGGTCACCTTTACTGAAAACAACCAAATGACAGCCAACCTAGATTGCCTGATTCCAGAGACATACTCTTAACTACCGTGTAGTTCTGTCTGCCCTAATGTCATCAGTTTTTGATCCCAAATGGTGTCCTTTTTCCTTCTCAGAATCACAGAATCAATAAATGGACCAAGCCCCAGTTGAGCAATGAAGGAAGGGTTTTCTTTGGCAAAGAATGGGGATGCAGAGAAAAATGCTCACAGATCCGTTTATAGATCTGTTTGGGGCTGGAGGTGATAGATATGGGGTAAGAGAAATTAAGGGTAAAAGAAATCAGGGATATGCTAATAATGGGTATGAATATTCATGGTTATTTTATTTTTTTCTGGGAACAAGTAGAGATTTTCTGGAAATTCGAGTGACACCATTTTTCACTCCTTTTGTTTCTTTCTGGTGACTACCGTGGCAACTGTCAACTTTCATGGCACTGGGGGTGTATCATTTAGCATGCAGATAGGATTATAGTGAAGTTAGAGGTTGTTGGTTGGTCACTCTGGTAGCCACCTTATTAGATCCAACTGGTTTTCCTTAGCCCACCTGAAGATGGACTTCTAGCCTACAAGGTATTCTGTCTTCAAAGATAAGCAAGATTAGGGAAGAAATTCAAAGAGGTCATGTAGGCAGTGCAAGATTAGGGTGGGGTGACACTAACTATGAAATATAATAGTCTATACTGAGTACTTTTCAAGAAAATTAAATAGAATAGAAATAACAAAGAATTAAAATGCTTGCCTATAGCTTATCAGTCAAACAGTGACTTATTAAAGAATAAAGATACTCTTAGACAAAGTCTGTCTTTGCACTGCACAAAAGCCAATAGGGCTAAATTTTAAAAAATTCTAATGTTAGATGCTTCCAATAAACTAATTGTTTTATAATAAAACAAACAAACAAAAAGCCAATAGGGAGGTAAGAAGAGTTGGTGGGAAAGAAATCAGGTTTATTCAAGGGTAAATACCCTGAGAAGATGCGGGGAATCTCATCACACACACACCCCTAAAAAAAAAGAACCTCTTCGACTTCGTAGGGAACTCAGATAGGTGAAAGGCTCATATAGGGAGGGAGAAGAGATGTAGATACAGTGGACAGGAAGACCACATGCTGGGTGGGGTCTTTGTCATCAAGGGCAAATTTCCTTTTTATTTTGATGAGAAATCACAACTGCACTCAACCTCTTTGTGATAGTTCCTATAATTCTTAGACTTCTTACTTTTCTGCAAGTTAAATGTCACAGTAAGGTACATGTTTGTGTTAGTCTGTGCTCAAGGACTAAAGAATAAGGAGGGGCCTAACACATTCTGATGTTATCCAAAGGTCTCGAGATGTTCTGGGTTTTGTAAATCGGAAGAAAGATTATTTAGCAGTTAACATCTACATCATGTAGGCCTGGCGTTCCTGTAGAATTTAGAATATAAAGGGAGACGAAGCAACTATACAAAGGACAACTCCTAAAGGAGCTGTCACCGTCACAATACTGCTTTCTTTTAAATTTCAACCCAATGCCTTATGACTAGTCGTATTCATTTCTCTGTTTATTTTTTAAGGATCTCGACATGCACTATGAACCCACGGATACTGCTGCTATGGCTCGAACATCTAATCTGAATGAGGAACTTGGCCAGGTAAGTGTTGAATCAGAAGTCAGATTTGGTATAATTCCTGTCATATGTGACAACTTCAGATAAGGTAACAACTCCTAATTTTCCAATATTTGAATAATCCGCATAGGGACATTTTTAGTACATGTCTAACCATCTTCATTTTTAGTAAGTGAAGTTTTCAACACTATTTAAAGCGGATTCTGTGTTTAAGATAAGGTACTGAACAAACCTAGGCATGTCCTCAACTTGTAGCCTGATGAGTACAGAAAATTTTAGAAGTGTAAAATTGTTCATAACTTTCAACTAGAAAGGAAGGGAAAACTCAAGTTGTGCGAGTTTAGTCAAATAGGAATTTTATGTTTACATTTCATAAGTCATACAATACATAACTTAATAGAGATGCATTCTGAAAAATGCATTGTTAGCTGATTTTTGTCATTGTGCAAACAACATAGAATGTACTTACACACACTGATGTCTGGGTCTTACTAGGCAATATAATCTGGTGGTATCACCATCATATTTGTGGTTCTTTGGTGACTCAAAGACCTTATGGCACACAACTGCATGTGTGTATCTGTTAATCCACTCATGTAAGCTAGCTGCCTGAGATTTTATTTTCTTATATCATAACCACTTCCAAAATCTTAGTATTTAAATAGCATGCAGGACAGAATTTTTCTTTTTCTTACCAATTCAGATGTTGTATGAAATTAATTGTACAAGCTATCACAGATTCTACAGTTGGTTGTTATTTTGAGAAATGTTGACAGACATCCCAGTACAGTAGTGATACTCTCTAATGAAAATTCAGACCATACTAAGGCATATTTCTCTCTGCCCATAGTATTTTGAATATTTAGATAGTTTTTAATACCAACATGTGAAATAGTTTATTGCTAAAATATTTTTTAAAAGTTGAATATGCGCTCTGATGTATAGGCAAGAACTAGTCAGTTAATAACATTCATTGTACCCCTACAATGTAACAAAGTTGATTTAAAAATATAAAGGGATTTTTCCCCTCTAAAAAATTTGAAACATTAATGAGAAATTTTAACCTTTTTTTTAGGTTAAATACATATTTTCTGACAAAACTGGGACTCTGACATGCAATGTAATGCAGTTTAAGAAGTGCACTATAGCAGGAGTTGCTTATGGGTGAGTTTTTCCCCCCTTTAATGAGAATATGATATACACATTTAATTAATACTAACAGTTTGGTACTCTTGGGAATTCTTATTAGAGGAGGGTTTCGTTCTTGTTTTTTTTTTTTTTTTTTTTTTTTCTTTAATCTAGAAAGCAGCTGTTTTAATTTCAGGACACACATAGGGTTTGGTATTCTTTTCACTGAGGATGAAATGAGGTGGGTCTTTGCTCAGTAGGTTTTTCAGTGTTTAGGTTTGTAAAAGGGTCTCCATCTGGCCTTGGTAATAAGAAGTAAATATGTTTCCATTTGCACTGGTGCAGTAAGAGTGCTGCTTGGATGTAGTGAGACAATGCAGTCAGGCCTTGGTCAGTTTTCAAGTTAAAACATTGTCGTTTCTCTTTCAGTTATGATTGTTTTTTCTTGTATCATCTCACCTCTTAGCACTGTAGAGCAATCTAGAATTTTGATGATGCGAAGGAGGTAGGGATATGAACCTTTTTTGGTTTTTTAAAAATCTTTTTTGTGATACTGGGGATTGTACCCAGTGGTGCTCTACCTCTGAGCTACATCCCCAACCCTTTTTATTTTAAAACAGGGTCTCGCTAGGTTGCAAGGCTTGCCTGGAACTTGTAATCCTCCTGCCTCAGCCTCTGAGTCACTGGATATGAAATTCGTTTTAATCTAGAAGATAATTAATATTAATGAAAGTTGCTTATCATCCTGATAATGTTGTTTAGAACATGCTGGTTGGGCACCCATTTAATTTATATTTTATTTTTAGGTATGCTTGCCTAAACTGTTCAGACTCTTCTCTTAGAAATACTTGTAGAACAATATGAGAAGATTAAATTCTACATTACTAAAAAAGACATGATCAAAAATTGAAACACTCTTCTGGTTGGTTGACATTGGTCTGTCATCAAATTTTACAACTATTCTTATCTACAGTGAGGCTGGTAAATAATGATCTCTTAATCATACAAATGGGTGCTTGCTTTTGGGTTTTCTGGTTCATACCCACTCTTATTCACACTTTTTCTCTGAGCAGTAAGCCAATATAAAAAGAGTTGAATTTTTTTAAAAAAATTTTTTGAGCTAAATTTTGAGTTAAAGTTTGGCTTAAAATTACAAATATTTCATGAAAAATTCTAAAGATACATGGTTATTCCTGGATTCAGGGTCTACAAAGAGAAATAGATGGAGGCAGACATGCTTGTTCTTTGGAACAAGAAAGAATAAAAAGGACTTAATCTTTGTGTATAAATGAAGTTAAAAGGAGTTGACTGAAGGACTTCTTCACACTTTGAAGACAGGCTGGTGGTCTGAGAGACATGCTTGCTGTTTCCAGGACTGGATGCTGTCTTTGCATTTTTCCTTTTTATCTGAAGATTTCCTCATCCCTTTAGATCTAAGAAGCTCACCTCTCTGCTTTCCTCCAGTTGCTCCTGGAACAGGAGAGTTTCAGCCACACTCTTTGGTATCTTGTACTTACACATTCTACCCACAGTAATCCCCAAGAATAGAAGCAAAGGCCTAATGTGACTCTTAAGCTTGTCATATTATACATTTGCTGTCAGATTTATGGTGCTGTCTGTTTTTACACAGATTCTATATTCATTCATAGATATTATTTCTACAATGCACCTGTTCCTTGGACTTTACCCAGTTTCCAGTTGAATAAGTGGGTTCTTAAAACTTAGAACTTCATAATTATCAATTGTGAAATTATCAGAGCAGAAAGTTAAAATGAGATCTAGTCTTTCTGCTGCATTTTGTACAGGTTTTTCTCATTCTTGGAACAGGTCTTAAATTACCTGCAGGTGGTAGTTCTCAAGAGCAATGCTCTTCTTGTGTTAGTTGGTATCATTGTTAACAACTGAGAGAACAAGGATGGGTTTGATCAAAGTGTTGTCATATATAGTTTAAGTTGCCAGTGAGACAAAGTACCTCTTGGGAAAGTAACATTTCTTAATGATGAGGTACAAACATGGGCATGGGTTCTAGCATTATCTCTAGTTCATCCTGTGACCCTAGAAAATTCCTCTTCAGGTAATCCTGATGCTTAAAATGTAATGAGGCAGGAAATTACACTGTCTCTAACATCCTTCTCCAAATATGGAGTTTAGAAATAAAAATACAGCACTTCTTTTGTTTGAAAAGTTTAATTGTATAAAAAAAATGTGTACATGGTTGCTAGCAATGATTATTTTGTAAAAAGCAATGTGCTCTTTGAGTGTTGTAGAATATTTTCAAGAATACCAAAAGCTGTATTGATTAAAACTGGTTGTTAAACTCCTTTGCAAGATTAATGTATTATCTGTGCAATTGCTTTAGGCATACTTAACCCTGACTGAGTTTCTAATTAAGATCCCTGCCCACACATCCTGGTGGACAGTTGGATTGTCAGCATTATAGAGAGCTGTGACTATCTGAAGGCTTTGGGGAAACCATGACTTCTAACAAGCATGTGTATACACATCAGGGTCACACAACTCTGTTATCTAATTCTAGCCAATCTCTATGGTTGAAGGGTGGGGAGAGTAATTACTGTCAATCATGTTACTGTGGGATTTTCTCTGAGCTCTCTTAGGTCATAGGTACCTACGCAGGTTCCCATTTGCCCCATAATAGTATTTGATAGTATTTAATATGGGAAATTATTAGACACATGCACTCGTAACCACAGCAGAAGACAGTAAGTTGTCTATCCTCCCAGGAGATAGTAATACAAACTTTCAAACACCAGCCACTGCCTTTGGAGTTACAAGTTTATAGCTCATCCTTCTTCAGTGCATCTACGGAAGATAAAGCTGTTTTATCCTAGATAGAGTCAAAGGTGAGTCCCACTGCATTTAATTAGCTAGAAGGATAAGATATGAAATCTTCAGCTAATTCTGAGAATGTCATAATTTTGTCAAAAGAAAATATTAATGCTTAAAGTAATGCTCTAGAATTTAATTTTAGTAAATTTTCTCTCATGTTGCTTATTTTTGCCCCAAAGTTTGCCCTTTTGGATTCATGATAGGCAGCAAAATAAAAAGAATTGTACACAATTGCTAGTAATGATTATTTTGTAAAGGTCAACTTTGTGTTAGGGATGCTTCTGCCTAAACTTACTAGATTATTCCATTAGATCTTTTTTATGGGACAGTTACAGTATGATAATTCATTCCTAGGTATCAGCACATTTGTATCGTTAAAACGCTTTTTTCTGATTATGCTTTATGTGTGATTAACTTTGCCGTGGTTTTAGCAAACATTTAAGTTGCTAAGTTTAAACATTTCTTACTGAATCTGAATGCATTACATAAAATCAGTAAATTCCATGGTGAAGAGGCAAATTGGCTACGCAGTTACAGGATACCTTTGTACACCTGCTTAGCTAACCATAAATCATCATATTCTACTTACTATACTAACTGCCATTCTTTCAGACTCAACTAAAAGTCCATTTTCCTAACATTTTGGAGATCCATCTTTCAGCACTTCCTTTATGGTTTTATGCTCCCAGACGTTCTGTGATTATTTTTCCTTTTTCTGTCCTTCCTCTTGCTTTCTGAAGCCATGTCCCTGAACCTGAGGATTATGGGTGCTCTCCTGATGAATGGTAAGCTGTGTGGACCTTGCTGTCTCATTCATCTCTTTGAAAAGGTTTGCGTTCTGTTGTTTTGCTAGACCCATTTCACCGCACTGCTCATCTAGGTTGGGTAAAAAATGCTATGAAGGTCATCTCTTGAAATCTATCACATAGCCTTCATTTTCTATCGAATAACCTTTATAAGCATTTGATAAACATTTAGATTAATGGTTAGACTTGCTGGAGTTTATGTTATTTATCTATAAGAAAGTCTTTAATGATCAATCCTGAGTCTCTGGGCTGTGAACTACCTGATTTAAACTACAGTTCCTAAAGCTTTCCTGGGTTTTTAGCCTAACACTGCCCCCTTCTGGCAATAAGTATCCTCTGCAGAACTGCAAAAAAGTGCTGAAACATCCCAGGCAGTGAAATTTTCTTTTTTATATTTTCCATTATTTTAATATGTCCAGGGGCTATAAAATGAACATTTTTCAGTGAAATGTCTGGAACAAAGATTGGAAGACTGTGATACCCAGGACTAGAGTGAATTTCAATATAATTAATTTTAGACTTATTAAAGACAGCATTTTGTAGGTTTAATTTGGGGATTTGTTTGCTCATTTTACTTTAAAAATTCCATGCCTTTACATTTTCATCTAGGATAATATACATTTTTTTATTTATATAATTCATCATGACATGGAAGGAAGTAGAATTTGAAAAAAATGGGTTCCTTTAATGCTGGGGACTTTAGAAAATATTAAGGCTTTATACATGTTTATGTTTTAATTTTCAGACTGTACTTATATTTTGTGAGTAAACCATATATCCAATATGCATTGAAGTCCAAAAACATTAATATTTTTAACCTATGATTTAATTCAGTAAAATGAAAATTTGATTTTAAAAATTTTAGTAAACCCCATCCTACCTGGGGTTAATGACAGAAGCAGCTGTTTGACTCAAGACAACTCGTGAGTCATCACATGCTCATGGCCTAGGGTCATATATTTAATACCTACACACCAATAAATTTTCAGCACTCTTTAAAATGTACTACTATTTGTGAATAATCCAACTTTAATGTTACATAAAAACTGAAGATAATAATAATATTTAAAAAATAAACACTAGGGAAGGCTTTTATCACCTTTTATAATGAAGTAAGCTTTATTTTATATGTTTGGATTCTTCATCCATAAAATAATTACTTGTAGCCCTGCAAAAATGAAGGAACAAATATTTCTTGAATGTCCATGTCCTGGGCCATGTCTTTGGATTCCAACTACCCAAGTTCAGATTCTGATCCTACTAGTGCCCTTGAACAAGTTATCTAACTTTGAATGAGTATCCTCATTTGGAAGAATATGCTGCTAATAGTAGTGACATCTCAGGAAGTTTTAAGGATTAAAAGAGTCTGTTTTTAAAATGTTT